CTCAAAGCAATGCAAATTAAAATGCTTTACTCTAACCAATTTTATGGCAAATTTACATATCTGCATTTCTACCATTCCTGACTATAGCCTGAAGATTTCCCAGGAAGCTGTTTAGTCCTTCCTACAAGGTATGACAGTTTTTCCCTAGCAAAAAAGAACTAAATTAATCAGCCTCTTCTCTCCGGAGGAAAAATGTGCTTAGCTATACCTGAGTTCCTGTCACTGAAATCTGTGCGTAAAGTGGGACCTGTTTATACAAGTAATTGTGATTAATGATCCTGAGAACTCCCGGCATGGACACTCTCTTTTCAAACTAAGAATGCTTTACTCTGCATCCGTATTAATTAGACTGAGATGCAGCACTCTTCCTTGGGAATAAGAGTGTCTGCAAAAAGGGTATTATTTAGTAGGGAATGGCTGTTTTGCTTTAAATTCAAGCCCTACCCTAATCTAAATTAATTTATCCATGTAATAATGCTAGCAGAACTCTATAGTCACTGTTTTAAAATTCTTGAGTTTTCTTTAGATTTTTCTTGTTAATATGCAGGACTGTCAACATTTTGCAGTATTAGTCACTTGACAGTGGATGTTCACCAAGATCCTGTGAACTGCTTCTGATAGATAGGTAGGTAGGTAGATGCATACATGCAAACATGAATATAATTGGACACAGAGCATAGCTCCCCCACATTTCCAATAGATAGTAAGCTTGCATCTGCTTTCATAAAATCTACCTTTTTCCTGAGGTTCTTGGAAATAAGAAACTATGGCTGTCTTCCCGTTATAAGAATTTTTGCTATTTAAGACTTACAGTGATATCAAATAAAAGTTAATAATATCATAACAGTGATCATAAGCTACATGTTAGAACATTGAGAGAAGTATTTGACAGTCTGCATAGTTAAATGGGAAGGTAATAGAAGAGGTAATCATACTGCAACCTGCTTACAAAATCTGTACTAGCTGGAGCTATATTTGTTAATTCATTGCTTAGATGCGGAACTTGGTGTTGGTGAAACATTAAGCTGAACTCTTCTCAGATTTTACTAAGGACAGTCAGTGTTGGTGGGTCATCCTGTGAATGCAATGTGTGGCTAATGTCACAACTACAAGATCTCACAACTTTTGCATGTTAAAGAATTGTCATGCTACAAATTTGTAGCTGTAGTAGAAAAAGAGCTTTCTGTTTTTTTTAATTTTTTGGAGCTCTGTGGAGGGAAAAAAACCCCGTCACTAATGTAGTTACACATATCACTGAACATTTCATTCATATAATTTACATAGTTATTTTATACTGTACATTTT